TAAGAATGCATCTGGGCCACTACTCTGATCAGCTGTCCCCAAGTAGGCTGTTCCTGTTTTTCCTACATTGCTGTTGCACACTACTAAATGTATTTAATATATCCTGCAAAGAAAGTGTGTCATGCTGGAAGCTGGATTGGCTAGAGGCTTGATGCAATCTCTTCTAATAGCAGTCAATCCTAGGTAAATGCTCCTTATATAAACCTTTCCATAGTTCAGCAGAACCTTGATCTGGCTACCAGTACAGCAGTGTAGGTGACATCAAAACAGAAAACGTAAAAAGGTATCAAAGCATTGTACATATTGGTAAAAAGGGGTATTGCTGTGGCACATACTGTACTTTGCTTTCTAAATCTGCCCTATCCTGTCTGTAAAATTGTGTGGTTTTATATTTAAAACCAGTAAATCTCCCTGTGAGATAAAATCATTATTTTTGTCTCATTAAAAAGAGCTGCAGTTGAAAGAACACAATCTACATTATGAAAAATCTTCCACAAAGTCCCACTTGGGAAACTTGCATTTTTTTCTTCATTGTCTTGGGAAGAATACTTTTTTCCCCCTTGAGCTTTATTTATTAATGAGTCCAACTCATCAATAACAGATTTAACATTTAAAGATATACCCACTACCCTAAAATGTACATAAAGACACATATTTATATTTATTCAACAAGTGCTACCGTAACCCAAATAGCGTCCACAAAAATCTTGTTTCTTTTCTTCTCTTCCCTTCAGTCTCTGACAATTCTTTTATATTTCCATCACTACTTGAATTTTTAAATTTCACTAAAGCTTTAGTGACATACACAAGAGCTGCCTAAACTCATGCCAAAGCAGATGTCCTTGTTAGCGTTGTTTCTGTTCCTTTCTTTCAACTTAAATTGTCTTAGACCATCTTTATTAATTTGTATTCTAGTATTTTTAGAATATAGAATTTTCCAGACTAGGGATAGAAGAGTTCTTATGATGCTTATAAAGCATTATGTTATGATAACTAAAACCCTCTCTTTAGGTGTTGAAATGAATCCATTTTCATAGATAACTTGGTGCTTCCACCCCCAACAGCTGGGTAGAAAATTTGAAGTTTGAAATATGTTTAAGGATTCAGTGAGTCAGACATATCTCACTAGGTGAAAAATGGGGTTGCATACAGTTTGCATTGTTCTGATTTATCATCAGAAAAAGAACCTCCCGTGAAGACTTCTTTTTAATAAGTCTAATTTTATCATCTTGGGATTTACATCTTAGAATTTCTCTTGGCTAGGAAAAGTGGATACATTTAACTTAGCTGGCTGACTTTAGCTAGCCAGCCTTGACTTGAATTTGACCACCTTTCCTAGTCAAGTCTGATTCCGTGTGAGGGGCTTAGGTGGACTTTTGGGCTGGTAATCACAGAGACAGGGATTTCTTAGGGTGATATCTTTTATTGGAACAACTGCATAGTTGCGATAATGTTAGACAAGCTTTCAAATGTAAGACATTCTTCTTTAGGTCTTGCATTCAAAAACTTGTCTAACCCTATCCCAACTATGCAGTTGTTCCAATAAAATGCATCACTGTGACCATGTTCGGGCTCCAGGGGTGTCTGTGACGCCCCCGGTGGCCACGCAACCCTTACCCTACCCCAGCTAGATGGTGCCCTTCCCCCTCTTATTCACCTGCCATGTCTTGCTGTAATTGTTTGATTGGAAGAGAGGCTGCCTAATGGGTCCTAGCGTGAGCCCCAGTTCCTCTAGATGCCAGCTAGCTCTGTCCTGCTCTCAGTAGGTGGGCCCTGATGACCTGTCAGTGCCCTTACCCAGGGTACCTGGTAGTCTTAAGGGTTAATCACAGCTTCTGACCACCCCTACAGTTGTGCCTATGCTTTGCAGGTGTTACCAGTTAATGACTTGGGTGGGCAGTTAACCCCAACCTGGTAGCAGGACATCTCAGGCATCTATACCTTTTATCAGAGCCTCAGCCTTCCTGACCTCAATGCCTTTTCTCTTGCTGGTTCCCCTAGCCTAGGCCCACTGTGCCCAACCTGGCTTCTGGGTTCCAGCCCTTGATTGCCTAATCTGGCTTTGCCCTGTCTTGGGCAATACACTTTCTGAGCTTGCTTAGGCTCCTGGGCCTCCCTGGCCTTCTTCTAGGCCCTTTTTGTGCACAGGAGCCCCTGGCCCTGGCTCCACGCTTCCTGGGCATAGGGCCCTCTGGCCCTTGCCCATCTCTTGCCCAAGCTAAGGCTTTAGTCTTTCTCTCTTCCTCTTTCTCGACTTTAAACTCCCCCTTTTGCTTAAGCCTATGGCATGCCCTGAATCAAGGCCCCTAGCATGCCCCTGGCACCTCACTGTGGGCTAAGTCACCATGCACCCCTCAGGTGCCCCACCATGGCCTCCACTCCCAAGCCACTGGTTGAAACTATAGCCAAGGAGTAAACCTTCTGGCAAACAAACTGAACCCTCCCTGGGTCCAAACATAAACAGTCGCTACCTGCCTGGATAACAAGGCCTCCCGTTACCCCAGATAATATTCCCCTGTAGGGCATCAGGACTCTGTTTGCCGTCCTCAGGATAGCCCAGGTGCCAGCTAGGAGAGCTCCTGTATTCCCCTTGCTTTAGAGCTCTTGCCTCAGCAACCTCCAGGGTCAAACTGAGCCTCCTGACTCAAGTTCTCCCTGGCCGTACCCCCTTCCGGTCAGGTGCTTCCCTCAGCTGCCTCAACTTTTAAGGGAGGGACTTACTGTGCTTGAGTGCATGGCAGTTGATCCATTGTGACCATTACTTTTGTCTATCCCCTTCTCTTAGTAAATTGAGCAAAACCTTGGCAATTTAACTGTGTTCCATTCAAGTGCAAGCTGATTTAGTTTAACTTCCATTTACTCTAGAATGGGAGAAAATAGATGAAGCAGGTACAGCGAGTGTGGTAAATTCCTCCCACATAAAATAATATAATTGCCGTTCTGTCCATGCCCTTAGTTTGTAGATAACAGACCTGCTATGGATTTGTTGGTCTTGTCCCACACAAGACTTCCTGGTTGGTTGTTTTCAATGCTCAGCTCATCAGGTAAATGGAAAACTGGCAAGCATCAGCAAATAGAGTATTTCAGTTTAATAATCTTTTACATGGTGTAAGTCAGCTTCTAAGGAAAACTGTGTAGAATGGAGGATTGGCAACCTTTTGCTGTGGGCCAGAGCTTGCAATCCATCCCCCTGCTGCAGGCCACAAATCTCTGTAACCCCTGTCCCACCCTCCCCAAGTACCCAAGCTGCCTGCGCTTTCCCTTGTTGCAAATACCTGGGCCCTCATGAGAGAGCAGCAGGGAAGGCTGTGGAGGTGATGGGCAGCTCAAAAGCAGTTGTATTCTGCCCTGTTGCTTGTGCTGCCTTGAGCTGGGCTGGATCCAACCTCTTCATGGGGCAAATCTAGCCCGCAGACCATAAGTTTCTCACACTTTCAGTAGTTCACTTCTAGAATGTGAGAGCGTTTAGAATTTACTGTGCTCAAATGCATGTGGCTTAAAAAGACAGGCTAAGCTACCTATTACTTTGAAACAAACACAGTTCTTAACAGTATAATAACAAATAGGAAAATGATACCGAGGAAGCTTAAGGTATGCTTTTGCATTCTTGTACCTCTGACAGTGGCATGAAAACTAAGCAAATCTTGACTCTGTCCAGAGGTTAGACATCTCTATGGCAATAGTTCTTTGTTAGGGAGACTTCAGGGTTTTTTTGATGTATATCTGTCTTTCTCTATACAGGATATCAAGCCAGTTATTGATGGAATAGATGGAATTAAGATCTCTCAGGGGCTTGGGCTGCAGGACTTCGACTTAATCAGAGTTATTGGACGTGGAAGCTATGCCAAAGTTCTTTTAGTACGGTTAAAAAAGAATGATCAAATTTATGCCATGAAAGTAGTGAAAAAAGAATTAGTCCATGATGATGAGGTAATAATTTATGCTAAACATGACTCAATTCCATATTTTAAAATTTTGTTTGTTAGTGTTACTTGTTCTAACTGGTTCACTAAGAAAGTAATTATTTAAAAAATTTGACCATGTTTTTGGACAATTAGTGTGTTGTCATGAAAGTTTGACTGACTTGTAAAGTTGTGGGTAGCATCAGTTGTCTATATGCAGTGTGGCACAGTGATTTGCTTTGAGTAGAAATGTCCATTTTCTCGTAAACAAATAGACTGATTACTTAACACAATCTTAAAATCACAAATGACATTTGCTACTAAACCTGGACATATTCACCACATCTGTTCTTTTTTTTTACTAATTAGAGCAGTGGATATTAAACTACTGAATAAATGAAATATCTTCATATCAGTGTTAGCTTTGGGGCATGAAAAAAACTGATCTGTAGATGCTACACTTCATAACAGGAGTGAAACAATATTTTTTAAAGTTTGAAAGAAATAAGTAGCCTACAAGTGTACATATACACATGTGTAGAAAAGAAGCCCAAATAATACAAAATAATTGCTTGAAGAAACACAAATAATACAAAACAAAAGATACAAATAATGTTTCCGTACAGTAAACCACTGCAGGTTTTTGAAAGGGGCAACATCGACATCATTTTTTTGAATCACTTTAAAAGAAGTTCTGTAATATCTCTTCTGGGGGGCGTTCATAAATTTGACCATGATACTGAATGCAAAAATAGATCTTTTCTTGACGTTCTTTCAGATGTAGCTTCTAACTGTAATCAATATACATTTTTTCAGATAGGAATGAAACATTCAAGTCTACGGTCGTCTTCTTCCATACGGCTGATGTAGATACAGAAGAAGAGCTGTAATTTTACATTTAGGTGATTGAGCCAGACAATTGTGTCAGGACCAGCAGAGTGTATTACTTATACCTCCTTCATATTTGTGGATCAGGCACTAAGTCATTATATGTTCTATGTTCTGTTCTGGGTGACCAGTCACACACTGGAGAGCTTTTAATTTTCCATTTGTGCATCAAGTATCTGCATCTCCCAAGGTGTGTGTGGATACAGTTTAGAGTTGCCCAAAGCCAGGAACCTTCTGCACTGGATCTATTGCAAGGTGTTTATTTCGAACTTCCTGTGAACTCCATTAGGTTTCCAAGCTTCATCAGGGTTGAAGTTGCATTGTTGAAAGTTAAGTGCATGGATCAAGAAGGGCTTGCAAGACTTTAGTCAATGGTGAGGATTATTTTTGAGGATCTGGTGGATGGAGAGATGTTTGTTTTCTTTAATTTGCTGGACTTCCCATAGAGTTGCTGTCTCACAATAAATGGGTGGAGGAGTAGTGTGCAACAGCATGGGGAGCCAAGGTGCAGGGGCCAACTTGAGTTTTCCAGTGATACACAGCATGAGAAAGTTCAGGTGGTTATCAGCAAGTCGAGTGTGACTGCTTCTGGTCCATACCGATGCACAATACTCAGCTACAGAGTATGCAAGGATCAGCATTGATGTCTGTAATACTGATGCTGATGCTCCCCAGCTTGTGCTTGCCAATTTCTGTACCAGATTGACCCTTATCTTCATCTTGGCAGGTTCTTATCTTCAGGTGGTTGTGGAAGGTTAACAGGTGGTCCTGCTCCACTCTGAGATAAGATGGAGTGGGGTCATGCTGCACAGTGTTGCCACAGAAAGTTACCTACAGGGTATGCTTGAGATTCCTGTTATCAAGATAGAAGCAGCGACTGTTGTTTTGCTGGGATTTGGCTCCATTTCCGAGAATATTCCTCCATGGTTTTCAGGTCCTTATTCAAAGTCGACTCTATGTCATTGAAGGTGGCTGCTTGTGTTGCCAAAGCAAGGTCATCTGCATATACACATTTGTGCAACTTTTTTGATGGCATATCATTTGTGTACAGGTTTCCCTCTCCAACCACAGTTTTGAATATCCACACTTCAGAGAAGGGGGGGTACAGTCTGAATCCCCCCATAACCCCCCTCCTTTCCCTGCTCATGCCTCTCATTCCTCCCCCCCTAGCCTTGCTGGCACTCCTCGCCCCCCACCCACAGCCCGTGCTCCCCCAGTCCTGCTGGTTTTGCCAGTCACAATTTTGCCAGCCATGGGAACTTTCAAGAACCTAACTCCCATGGTTGGCGAGGGAAACCTGTATACATTAAAGAGCATTGGTGCGAGTACTGAGCCTTCTGGCGTCAATTACTGAGGAACCGGAGCAAACTGACTCTGTCACCCATAGCCACCTATTACTCAGCATTGTCCATATCAGGCGCAGTGTTTGATAGCAGGGTATATACTTGGCAAGCTTCAGCATCAGACCTTTAACCCAGACTGCGCTGTAGTCTGATCACAGATCTACAAAGGCTGCACCAGTCTTGGATTATTTTCTGAAAACCTGTTTCAGTATGCATTGCAAGGGCCAGAACTTGCTTGCAGCAACTTCGCTTAGCTTGGAATCCTGCTTGTTTCCTAGGGATCACTGGCTTGATAAAAGGACTGATTCTCTTGAGGATGATATATTTCAGGAGTTTGTAGGTTGTGCCCAGGAGTGATATTGGCATATAGTTTCCCAGGTCAAAGCTTACCAATTTGAGTATTGCAGTGACCATCACCTCTTGCCATGCTTTTAGTGTGCATCTGGATCCCATGGTTTTTGTGTACAGTTTCACCAGCTATTGGAGTCCTTTGGGGCCTAGATGATGGAGAAATTCTGGGAGGATACTATCTCCACCGGCTGCCTTCCATTTCTTAATTGCTGTTAACCTCTCCTTCACTTCATCTATGCTAAAAGCAGTAGGGGCTTGTATAGGGATTGATATTATCCAGTGTACTTGAAGATCGACCTCTTGTTTGATGTTTTTTGTCAAGAGGTCCATTTGTATTTTCGACTAATTTAGAAGCTATGGAGTTGGGATGGTGTTTTGGGGTCCAGTATTCAGCTGAACTAGGAGCTCCAAGGCATAATAGGGCTCAGGCAAGTTGACCAGTGTGTGTGAAGTTCAGACCTTCAACACACTCAATCTACCTTTGGCATCTGGCTAAATCTAGAGACCCTAGCAGGGCCTTCACAACCTGTGGGTTGCCTGACCAATTGTACAGCCAGAGCAGGTCATGGGTCTGTTTAGTCCACTAGCAAGTATATTTCCCTGGAAGCCCCAGGGGATACTTTGCTTGGTGGCAGTAATCAGGAGGCTGGTGAACCAATGATAAAATTTTGGTGTCTCAAGGATTTGGGTCACCACTTTTTTTAACAACTTCCCAAGTCAGCTTTGGCTACGTTCCATCGTGGGATCTGTTTAAGCAAACTCACAGGGATCCTGATGCCAACATAAGTAATGATGGGCCTATGTTGGCTGTTGGGAAAGTCAGGGAGTATATACATGGAGCATGCTCCTGTTTAGATGGTTGAACACGATGGTGAGATCTGGGTTATTACCAATGAGCTGAGTGGAAGGCTGCTCACTTTTTGAGATTGAAGGCCAGATGTAGACCATCTGTGAACATCCAGTCCATAAGGTCTTTGCTGTCAGCTTCATTTGCATCATAATCCTGCATACCATGGTGGCTACTAAAGTCATCAGTGTACAGGGCTGGGATGGGTGCACTTGGGAGTGCTGGCTTCAGCCATTCCAAATTAGGGGTTTTGTATACGTTGGTAATGTTTTACAGTTTCATAGTTAGTAGGGTTGGAAGGGACCTGAACAGATTATCAAATTCGACCCCCTGCCATGGCAGGAAAGAGTACTGGGGTCAAACAACCCCAGCAAGGTGATTGTCTAGCCTTATCTTAAAGACCCCCAAGGTAGGAACCAGTACCACTTCACTTGGAAGTTGGTTCCAGATCCTAGCCGCCCTGACAGTGAAGTAGCGCCTCCTGATGTCTAATCTGTTCAACTCCCCTATTTTGATGGCAGTAGTGTAAGTGGCTTTTTCTTCAGTTGGGTGTAAGACATTGAAATCTGTGATGGTGTTCTTCACCTATATAGGTAGGCCATATTTCAGATAGTGTTTTCCACATATACATATAACTAAGCCATATTTTGGATGGTAATGGCTAGTTGTAAGATTCTTGTTATCCATGTATACAATAGCAGCTGGCCTGTTGGCCATGGGAGACATGAGTTTCTTGGAGCACAAGGACATCGATGTTATGTATCTTCAGGATATTTGCAACGTGCTTGCACTTCATCCAGGGAAGTCCCTCAATGTTGCGTTGGAGGATCCTTGTTTCAGGACCTATCCAGCATGTTACTTGGCCCTGAAAAGAGCAGTTGAATTGCTGTGCTGAAAGATCTGGAGATTGGTGATCAAAGTTCAGTCATCAGGTTGATGGCATTAGTCATGATTTCTCACTTAATGGAGTAGGCCACATGAAGGCTCCCATCCTCCCCAAGTCTACAGTGTCAGCCTACTTCCTTCATCACTTGAAAAGTAGATATCAGAAAGGTGTTTTTATTTTGTTTCTTGAAAGAAATAAGACAAAGTACCACAGGAAAAAAAGTACCAATTGTGTTGGTTGCAATAACCAGCTGTGTACTAGGGCTGTGCGAAGCTTCGGGTGGTGATTCGATTTGGAGGAGATTCAGCCCAATTCAGTGGCCAAACCTCTGAATCGAATCAGGGGACCAATTAAAAGGTCCGAATCGATTCAAAGCTCTCCAAATATTCAGAAAAGATTTGGAGAGCTTTGATTCAGGCAGTCCCTGGTGGCTGCAGCAGGAACCTGCAGCCGGACTCTGAGCTGGTAAGTAGGGGCAGGGTGGGGGACCCCTGCCAGCCCCCAGCCCCTGCCTGCACCTCCAGCCTCCCCCCTCCCCCCCCATGGCTGCCCTGCCTGCCTCAGTTCCTGGTACTTAAAAAAAAAAAAAAAAAGCCCCAGTGCTCACTGGGTGTTGCTGAGTGTGGGGGGGGCGATCCCTTCTGCCCCCCACACCATGTGGGGGGCTTTGCACAAGCCTCCCGACCCACTGCCCCACTCCCCTAGCTCCGCTA